TGACTTTATTTGACACTTGGCAGGGTCTCATCAGTAATGGTTGCAAGTTATTAGCTGTGTCTAGGGAGGGTCTTATGGGATCCTCCATTAACCTCAATGCTGTATTCTCGCGGCAATGTCACAAACGGGGGACTTTGTGAATTTGGCAAAGTCCCCAAATGATGACCGTGCTGCTTTAAACTGTAAACTATTTAAAATTCTCCCAGCACTTGTATTCCTGCCAATAGTTTTACAAGAAATCAGTATGATTTAGAATATCCACATGTAAGGTGGTGCTAATTTGCTTCACTTTGCTGTTTTGTCTTTGTTAAAGCGGCACTGTCATGCCAAACTTACCTTTCCTCAATCTCTTCCTCTTCTCCCCCTCTCTGTTCTTTTCTTCCTGTCTTCTTTAGTTTTCTTTAAAATCAGATCTTTGCCTTATGGAGGATTCCTCCGCTTGACCAGCTCTGACCAGCGGAGGAGCAAAGTGTGCTTCATTTCCGCTGGTCAGAGCAATCTTCCCATGATCCTTACCTTTCCTCTGTGTTCCCGCGATGCTTCCTGTCACGTTTCACGAAACTGCCGAATTGCGTTCTAACTGAATGAGAACAGTATGTTCGTTTCTTTTAGAACGCAATTCGACACTTTATTCGGATCGGAATTTCATTCGAATGAATGAAACTCCGATCCTATTCTTGCTGTGGCTGCACCTTGCAGCTGCTTAGTAGATAACTCCCTAATTCCCACGGTATCAGGGAGCTATCTACTAAAAGGCTGAAAGACCTAAACTGGTCTTTCAGCCACATTTACTAATACTAAGTAAAAATTACTTAGTATTAGTAAATATGCCCCTACTCGCTATACCGCGAGTAGGGGCATGTCCGGTAAACAGTGAGCAGCCTGTGGCTGCTCACTGTAAAAAAAAATGGCCTCCCCCTAAACGACGGGTGGGGGCCCTAAAGTGAAATAAGGGGGGAGACCTAATGTGTCCCCACGGCCCCCACTCCTGGGCGGTGGGTGGGGGCCATAAAGATAATGAGGGGGGGGCCTACTCTCCGCCCCCCACTCCTGTGCGGTGGGTGGGGGCCATAAAGATAATGAGGGGGGAACCTACTGTCCTCCCCCACCCCTGGGCGGCGGGTGGGGGTCAAATGATAATGAGGGGCCTACTCTCACCCCCCCCCACCCCTGGGGTGGGGGCCATAATGATAACGATGGACCTACTGCCCCCACCCCTGGCGGCGGTGGGGCCATAAAGATAATGAGGGGGGCCTACTGTCCGCCACCCACCCCTGTGCGGCGCGTGGGGGCCTTAAAGATAATGAGGGGGGAAACCTACTGTCCTCCCCCGCCCTCACTCCTGGGCGGCGGGTGGGGGTCAAATGATAAGGGGGGGGCCTACTTTCCACCCCCCCCTCCGGCCCCCACCACTGGGCCGCGGGTGGGGGCCATAATGATAACGAGGGGGGGGGACCTACTGTCCACCCCCGGCCCGGGCGGCGGGTGGGGGCCATAATGAGAGGGGACCTACTGTCCACCCCACCTGAAGGCGGGTGGGGTAAAAAGGAGGGGGGACCTACTGTCCTCCCCGGCCCCCTTGAGCGTGGTGGGGGCCATAAAAATGTAAAGGGGAATTCAAAATAATTTTCCCAAGCTGTGTAAAATGACACAGAGCACTGTGATTGGATGGATTTCAAGCCATCTAATCACAGTGCTCTGTCATTTTACACAGCGTGGGAAAGTTCTTTTGAATTTTCCCACACTGTGTAAAATGACAAAGAGCACTCTGATTGGCCTAAACCCACCAGAGTGTGGGGGGGACATTAGGTCCCGGGTGGGGGGGGGAGGCAGTAGGTCCCCCCTCATTATCACTATGGCCCCCACCCGCCGCCCAGGGGTGGGGGCCGTAGGGGTGGTGGACAGGCTGCTCACTGTCTCGTGGACATGCCCCTACTCGTGGTATAGCGAGTAGGGGCATTGGGGAGATTTTAATCTCACTTGTGCTATTATGGGGGTCCCTGCCACTTCTATAGTTACATATTACAAGGAGGGAGCTGAGTGCCGGTAGCTCCCTCCTTGTAATAAACTGCACGAACAAACACTGATGCATAGTGTGTTTGTTCGGCTGATATTTCTATTCACTCATTCGGCTGTCTGAATGAATGAATAGATTAAATTCCTGTTCGCATGTCCAGGTGTTTCACTGGGCATGTGTGGGAATCTCAGTCTATCTAGTGTGGGCTGATGACGTGTCCCACAGGGACTTCATCTACCCACACAAAGATGGCGGCGCCCTGAATAAAGATCGGGGCAGAAAATAAGGAATAAAAAATAGGTAATGTAGGGGGCTTAGGGGCATTTGAGGGTGACTAGGGGATCAGTTAGATGTAGTGGAGGCCGGAGGGGGGTTAAAAAAAAAAAAAAAAACGGATTCGGCATGACAGTGCCGCTTTAAGCCTTGCTTATTTAGCTGCTGTATTCTCCAACATACCGTTCTAACCCTGTAGTTTGAAAATTTGCGCAATGCATTTAGATTCCCAGTGTGATTTCTAAGGTGGTATACAAGCTACTGCTTATTATTCTTTATATCTTGTCCATTACATATATAATATTCAAGGTTACAGTTTGGAAAATGTATGTACTATAGCAGCATTTCTTGGAAAAAATTAAACACAATTGCTGCTTCTTTTGGGTAGGAAATGGTGCAACTGGGAAACATGAATGCTCGTGCACAAAATGTTATGGCCAGGAGTTTGAGAAGCCAATATGTTGTGGGTGCAGATTCTTTTGCAGGCACTGTGCATTGAATTAGAGATTGTGTCCAAATCATCTGCTGGTTTTCCCCATTACAGAATGCTTTTGACACATGCACATTTTTTTTTTTTTTAGCTCTTTTATTAAAACTAGCTTATGTTTTTCCTTAACAGAAGGCACCCCTTATGCTGGAGGGATTTTCAGAATGAAGCTAATCCTGGGCAAAGATTTCCCAGCAGCACCTCCAAAAGGATACTTCCTAACAAAGATATTTCACCCAAATATTAGTTCCAATGGAGAGATATGTGTCAATGTATTGAAGAAAGATTGGAAGGCTGAGTTAGGCATAAGACACGTTTTGCTTGTAAGTATAAATGTTTGGGGACTACTGTTGGATAACTATGGATTGCTTGAGGTAGTTCTGCATTTTTGCTTTTAAATACTTTTGCATATTGAGTAACTAGACTCTTTTCAGATGCAAATAAAACTTCAAATACTTTTGTACACTTGTTACATATTCAAATTGTATTCATAGGTTTCTTGATTGTTTTTGCTTTTTTATTTTTAATATAAAGCACTTTATTTTATCATTGTTAGTTTGTCATTTGTCTGTTGATTGCAATTTTTCAAGCTCTATTTTTCCCTCCTTGGATAATGCATCTGACGTCTTCTCATGCTGCAGAATGTAGGTGTAATTAAGAACTTAGGTTTGATTTAAAATGTAATCTTTGCTTTCACTAATATTGTGTATTTTCTTTCCTAAGACAATAAAGTGTTTGTTGATTCACCCGAACCCAGAGTCAGCACTGAATGAAGAGGCCGGGCGCCTCTTACTGGAGAACTACGAAGAGTATGCATCCCGCGCTAAACTCATGACGGAAATCCATGCTCAGGCTTCCAACTTTAGGGGCAAGGATCCTACAGACCCATGTTCTTCTGCTTCAGCTACAGTGGCAAATGGGGATGGACCCATGGCCAAGAAACATGCTGGCGATAGGGACAAGAAACTTGCAGCGAAAAAGAAGACAGATAAAAAACGAGCTTTAAGGCGACTTTAAAAGAAAAAATAAACATTATCCATGGGGCTGTAAAGGCTTTAGGATCAAAGCATGAATGGAACTTGTGTGCAGACTATTAGATTGGGTGGGAGGGACTGAAGAACAAGGGTTGGGGATTCAATTTCCTTTTTCCCCTGCTTTATTTCGTTTTTTAAAGAATTCCTTTTTTTTTTTTTTTTTTCCACTCTTAAGTTATTTAAATTATAAATCTATTAAAATAATTTTTTCTTATGATTTTCTTTTTCATTGACATTTGACTGTCACTAATTTCATGCTTCTCTGAGGTGTGTATATGTTCTATATTGTACTTAATATATATTGGTGTTTTATTTCAACTGAAAAGCAATTTTGAAAGTACAAGGTGTAATGTGCTGAATGGTTTCTGCTGGCCATAATGTACAGGTGTATAAGCCATTTAATGCATGGTTTAATACAGGGCAAAGATTAGTGGATAACATTTCACTCTTGTTCCTTCAGAACAGCAATGTTTTCAGCTGCAGAATTAAAACGGGGTGGGGGAGGGAACACATGGCACTTAGACCACTTTATTGTGCCTATAGTATTCCTTTAACCATTAAGGACCAAACTTCTGGAATAAAAGGGAATCATGACATGTGTCCTTAAGGGGTTAAAGGAAAGTTGGTATTAGGAATACAAAACTCTATTCCTAATACTATAGTTTCCTCTTGTCAACTTTCTATAGGGAACTCCTTTTGGGAAATAAAAACTTTTTACCAATGCTAGGGATCGACCGATTATCGGTCTGGCCGATATTATCGGCCGATATTTGGTATTTTCGGCAATATCGGTATCTGCCAATTCAGATACCGATATTGCCGATTATATATAACAGGACCGCCGGGCCCATTACAAGCCCGGCGGTCCTGTGGGGGCCAGCCGCAAGCGCTGACTTACCTTGCATGCAGCTCCCTGTGTAAATCTCGCGAGACCCGCGGCCGCAGAGCGTTGCCACGGGTTACCATGGCAACGCTCCGCGCGGCACTAAGAGCCGCGAGATTTACACAGGGAGCTGTAGGAGCTGCTTGCAAGGTAAGTCAGCGCTTGCTGCTGCTGAGCCACCACTGTACTTAACAAGCCACTGGACCACTAGGGGATACTATATCCCCCTCCCTGGTAAAAAGCAGGGAGGGGGGACTAAACAAAAAATAAAAACATTTTTAAATATTAAAATAAAAAATTACACAAATTACATCACTACACAAACACACACTGCACACATACTGCATTACATACACACACACTGCATTACATACACACTACACAGACAGACACACTACACACACACACCACAAACACATACTGCATTACAGACACACACTGCATTACATACACACTACACAAACACAGTACACATACTGCATTACATACACACACTGCATTACATACACACTACACAAACACAGTACACATACTGCATTACATACACACTACACAAACACAGTACACACACTGCATTACATACACACACACTGCATTACATACACACAGTACACATACTGCATTACATACACACACTGCATTACATACACACTACACATACACACACACTGCATTACATACACACTACACAAACACACACTACACAAACACACACACTGCATTACATACACACAAAAACACACTGCACACACTGCATTATATACACACTACATTCATTATACACACACTACACAAACACACACCCTGCACACACTACACAAACACACAGTTCCCCTGTCTAAACACACTTCATCCACTACATGTGGCATGTATATTTTGTGCATTTACCTTTCGAATTAGTTTATTTATTCAAAATAGTAAATGTACAGAATATCGGCAAGATATCGGCTATCGGCCTGAAAGTTCGCAGGTTATCGGTATCGGTATCGGCTGTAAAAAATCAATATCGGTCGATCCCTAACCAATGCCCCTCGGTGCTTAGTTTCATTCCTCCACTGACAGCTGAATATGCTTACCTATGGGTTTTTTTTTTCGAGACACTGGACGCTTCATGAAGTCAAACTTTGCGGAAACTGGAGGAAGCGACTCTAGTGACTGACTCTCTAAAACGTAATTGTTTTACATTGCAGGGTTAAGAGAACACTGCACCCAGACCACTTCAATGAGGAGAGTGGTCTGGGTGCATAGTGTCCCTTTAAATTTGCTTCTCCCACTTATAAAAACACTTCTTCAGGCAGAGAATTTCACATCTTTATTATTACAGTAAATAAAAAGCTTTCCTTTGCCTTGGACTAAACCTTCTTTCTTCCAGTCTAAACGCATGACCTTGTGTTCTATGTATAGTCATATTTGTGAATAGATTTTCAAACAAAGGTTTGTATGGGCCCCCAGATATATTTGGATAATGTTATCATATCTCCTCTATGACTTTGTGAAATGCTACAGGGGGGCGGGTGGGGTCTCCTGGACACTCAATATAATTTTTATGTATTTTGTCCTTTTTAAAGTGTGTTTTTTTTTGTCCCTTTCGTGGAGAACCACTTCAAACAGAATACTTGCATGGAAGACAAAATGTAAGTTCTGACATGAGATAAGAAGGAAGGCTAAGAATGGACAGGAAACTAGACTTTCTATGAATACATACTCTAAGCCCCCAACTCCAGTTTTCATAAAGCTACACAAATAAATTTAAATAGAGCTTGAGTGTCACTAACCTGCACTGATATTGATTTGCACCTGGTGCAAAAAACAATTATAAATGAATGAGTGGAGCACACGGTGTCAATAAGTGCAAACTAGCCGCTGTCCTAGGGTCACTCCCAACCCCTTAAATACAAAAACAGTGTGAATAGAAAATATCTATAAACCTTGATGGGGTGTGTCACTGTAGTTACCTGTTTCATGGAATTTGTTCTCATAAATAAAAATTGAAAAAACAATTAAGATAATAGTACACAATTTGTTGAAATATTGAAAATAAAATAAACATTTAGCAATGGCACATTAAAAAAAAAAACCTGCAACAATCGCAATGTTGGCCTTTATAGCCTTAGTCACCACTGGTCCACAAACAGCACACTTTACCTTCACAGCACAAAAGTGCAAAATAGTTCATGGCAGTGTTTTTATATATATATATATATATATATATATATATATATATAAACTAAATTCTCTGGGTCGTTTTGGGGCTCAACACGTTTTGGTGATCCGACTTCCTCGAGAGCCGGTCTTCGGCTTTTTAAATGTCTTGTGTCATCACTGAGGCCTGTGCATGTGCACCAAACGTAACGCCATGACGCATGGACAGTTTACTATATGGACATCCATGTTGAAACGCAAATCAACTTGATCTGAACAGTTAAAACGAGAACTGTTCAGAATCTCTACAAACTGTATTTACAATCATTATAATAATCCTGGACATAAACATGCCTAACTGTGTGAATTCAACCATATATCTAACGTATAGTAATTGAAGTGGACGTGGTGCTGTGACCTTTATGCACTTAGTGCTGCAATTTAAAACATTGACTTTCCTGATAACTGCAATGTTTACATTACAGCTCCAAGTCTGCACTCTGTGGCTGTCTAACAGACAGCCACTAGAGGGCTTCCGGAATCCAAACAGACTTTTCAACCATCTTGACCATAATCATGGACCATCAGCAAAAGATTTTCTTTATATGCCTGTGCGCGGCCATTGCTGTGCATGCGCATTAGGTCTCCCCTGCTAGCTGATGTCAGCGTGGGCAGAGCCTGACCCAGTGCCGAGGGACGTCAGAGCTGGATTCAGGTAAGTGGCTGAAGGTGTTTTAACCCCCTTCAGCTTGGGGGTTAAAACCCCATAGGGCCAGGAAAATGGCTTTGTTTTCATGGCACTATAGGATCCCATTAAGATAAAGTAAAATATTTGCATGTGCAATATATATATATATCTATCTCTCAGCGCTTAGTGAATGTGTCCCTGTGAGTTAATCTCAGGGATACCATAAAAACAATTTTATACAATAGAAGAACCTGATCTATAGTCCAAAGTCTTGTATAAACATATTAATAAACAGCTGAAAAGATAAAATAGGAATAGGCAGACTCTGTGTCCATATCAGTGGTAAACTGGTTGTACCTTATGAATTATAGAAACAAAAAGATAGTGTAACACTGTATGTTTATTGCCTTATACATAAAAAATCAGAAACTCTTACAGGATAAAAATGTGGTACTTATCTCTAAGGACCACTTTCTCAGCGGGGTAAGCAGTGGCATTAGTCCAAGTATGCCATAGAGAAAACCGATCCTCCAGATGAAACCACTACTGCCTTGTGCACTGAAGCCGGCTGTTCACAATCTGAACTTGGAGGAATGTTAGAGGTAAGTCTTGCTAAATACTGGAGCCTCGTGTATGAAACCAAAGTGCTGAGAATAGCCTCCGGCACCTTCAATGCGTTTTGCCCTTCACGTTACATAAATATAGTGGAGTGATAAGTGAAATTAATTAAAAGGACATTCTTAAGGGGGAAATCTCATTTAAAGCGGCACTGTTATGCTGAACTTACCTTTCCCTAATCGCTTCCTCTCTCAGGATCTGTTCTTCATATCTTCCTGTCTGCGCTAGTTTTCTTTAACACCTTAGGTATCAGACCACATTTCAATTTTCTTACCGTTTGGGACCTGGGCTTTTTTTAAATTTCTGCGGTGTTTGTGTTTAGCTGTAATTTTCCTCTTACTCATTTACTGTACCCACACATATGTGCCACTAAATGGTCTTTCTAAAGATACCATTATTATCATCATATCATATCATTTGCTATAAATTGTTTTTATAAAATGATGAAAAAATAAAACAAACACTTTTTTGAACTATGACCCCCAAAATCTGTTGCACATCTACAACTGCCAAAAAACACCCGTGTTAAATATTTTTTTTTATTTTGTCCTGCTTTTAGAAATACCCAATGTTAACATGTTCTTAGTTTTGTTTTGTTTTTTGCAAGTTATAGGGCAATAAGTACAACTAGCACTTTGCTATTTTTTTCAACATGAACGCAAGTTACATTGTAACACTGATATCTGTCAGGAATTCCTGAATAACCCTTCACAAGTGTATATATATTTTAAAAGAAGGCAGTATAAGGAATTAAACTTGGAGTACTTTGACTCTTTTCATGCAATAATTTTACCACCAATCTATGCCAAATTTGAAAAAATAAAATAATTGGTGATTTTTTTTTGACACACAGCAATTTAAGTATACATGCACTCAGAACTTTAAGGGCTACTGCCAAAGAACACCCCAATGTGTGTTCAGCAACATCTTCCGAGTTACACCAATGTAAAGGTGTGTTGGGTTCTCTGGGGGCTAAAAGGCCATATTTGGAGGTTGCACATTCCAGTTTTCCAACTTGAAATTTTCACAGCTGGTCATCATGAACCCATGTCCTATTTGGGGCATTTTTTAAGCCGGCCAATGTAATTTACCCCCATCAAACCATATATTTTTGAAAAGTAGACACCCTGGGGTATTTCAACACTTTCCATGCACTAATTCTAACACCAGTCTTTTTCAAACTTTTGGGTAGTCATTTTTTTGTGTTATTTTTCTTTCACATTGTACTTTAGGCATGGATTCTCAGTTCCTGTTATGTGTTACTGACAAGGAACAACCCAATATGTGTTCAGCAACATCTCCTGAGTACAACACTGCCCTCAATGTACAGGTTTTGCAAACTTACACGGGTCAAATGTTAGGGCTTTTCCATGTTTGCACATTGGCCCAGTAAACCAATCTGGCAAATTTCAATGTTGCCTTTAAGACCGTATAGCAGCCCAGGAATTAAAATTAACACCATCATGGCATACCATTTGTAAAAGTAGACTACCCACTTTATTAAAAATGGGGTATGTCCAGTCTTTTTTAGTAACCAGAAATCCTGGCCAAAATTAGCATTTATAAATTATTTTTTTGTATTTTTTACACATACTGCAGTTTCACCGATGATATCAGTATAATAAATTTTACTGCTCTAAAACACTCACATTTGTGTAGAGTAATGTCTCGCGAGTACAACAGTACCCCTCAAGTACAGATTTTATGGTGATTTGGAAAGTTACAAGGTCAGACATAAGATTTGCCAATTTCAGTTTTTGTAAATTGCTTTTTGCCATATTGGCTATGTTGCCTTTGAGACGGTATGGCAGCCCAGAAGTGAAAATTAATCCCACCATACCATTTGAAAAAGTAGACAACGCAGGGTATTCAAAATGGGGTATGTCCAGTCTTTTGTAGTAGCCACTTGGCCACAAACGCTTGCCAAAGTTAGCGTTCAGATTTGTTCTTGCACTTTTTTTTTTTTTTTACACAAAAACTGCACTTTTACTGTTGATTTCATCGTCGTGATAGGTTTTACTGTTTTAACCCCTTAAGGACACATGACATGTGTGACATGTCATGATTCCCTTTTATTCCAGAAGTTAGGTACTTAAGGGGTTAAACAAAAATAATAGGTTGCGCTACAAGAAAAATAAATGCAAATGGAAATAAATGAATATAATGTACTCACATACACTAAAAACATAAATAAAAAGGAGTATATAGATAATAGTCCCAATACTTGATATGCTTCCTATGAGTTCCAATGGGTATGTGAAGACTTTGATGAATGGTAATCCCAATACTTGGTATGCTTCTTATGAGAAGCTTAAGTATAGAGGAAGGAGAGGTGGCAGAAGATTACAAAAGAGAAAGGAAGGAGAGACTATAACTAATACAGATGAGAAAAAATTTATTTTTAACCTCTCCCAAAAAGTTTTAACATCCACTCAGATTTTAGTTTTAAGTAAAGGTCTCAAATATGCTCCCACCAATTCTTTTAAACCCTTCCAAGCATTTCTGGATATAAATAAGTTTGTGAGAAAAGCAACAATAAAAAGATTCTTTGCACAAAATAGTAATACCCTTACAGAATCAAGTTCGGCACTACAAACTTCGAATCACGACACAACTATTGAACGCCCTACTACACACACCACCTTAAAAAATCCCTCCAAATTTTATCCTGCTAATTTTAAATCAGGCTCCATATAAGTCTTTGAAAAATTGGTTCTTAATGATTTTGAAAAAATTAAACATACTAAGTATGACCATCAGAATCTTACACAGAAGGAATGGAAAGCTCTAAAGGAACTTCAAAAAGATGACGAAATTGTTATTAAACCCGCTGATAAAGGTGGGGGTTTAGTCATTCAGTCAAAGTCTATGTATATAAAAGAAGCTAATCGTCAACTCAATGGCCCTGAGGTATACGATAAATTACCCTATGGCCCCACCTCCAATATTAAAGATATTCTAAGTGTATTCTTGAGAAAAGGATTAGACATAGGAATTCTAAATAAACATGAATTTGACTACCTCACTATTCTTTATCCCAAAATTCCAGTCATTTATTTTCTCCCAAAAATTCATAAAAATGCAAAAGAACCTCCTGGGAGACCGATCGTATCAGGCATTAATTCTGTTTTATCCAATCTTTCCGAATATATTGATATTTTATTACAACCTTTGGTCAAACAAACTAGATCATATCTGAAAGACTCTATGACTTTTATCTTTTTTAAGCAATTTTAATTGGTGCCATGATTATATATTGGTAACGTGTGATGTGCAATCACTGTACACCATAATTCCCCACAATATTGGCTGTCAGGCAGTGGAAAGGATTTTAAAACAAAACAGTTCAATTCCAGATTCTCAAATAGATTTTATTATACAAGGTATCGAAATAATCCTCACGAATAACTATTTTTGGTTTTTAGACTCATTTTATATTCAGAAAAAGGGTACAACCATGGGAACCAGGTTTGCCCCCAGCTATGC